CTTCCTTATTTTTATCATTATATTTAATTATTAAATTATCATCGTCCAAAGTAATTGAGTAGATGCCTTTATCATGAAAATATTTTTCAATTCATCCTTCCTCTCAATCACTCGTTTGATTTTGATTTTCAACTGCCAAAGACGAACCATTTATTAGGGCTTCAATTTCAGCTCAATCTCGTTTTCCTTTCTCCAAACCTTCGTTGTAATAAATAATGCCAATGTTTCAATGCCTACGACCAGATTTATGACTTAATACTTTAAAATTATCCAGAATATTTTGACTTGGAATATTATAAATATTTGAGTTTTCAATTTTTCAATCTTGGGGATTTTGTTTAATTTCCTGAATTATCGCTTTTCTGATTTCTCTTTTAACATTTCACTCCAACTTTACTAAATCCATTTCCTCACCCTCAATTTCTACTTTGTGGATTTTGGCATTTATTGATTCTGAATTAGCATCACCTTTGTAATAATCTTTTTCGATATCACCTTTTACTATCTCAGCATTAGCCAAATAGCCAATGGGGTTAAGAGATATTTTATCTAAATTACGAAGCAATTTTTCTTTTATCCGAATATTATTTTCGCTTGTTTGTTCTTTGTCCACAAAATATTTTTTGGCACAATTGGGGTGGAAATAACCAATAACTTTTGAGTCTTGACCAAATTCTTTACCAACTGTTGCTTTATTTCATAATCACATACGACCCTCTTCCTCCAAAGTTAGTTCTCCACAACTTTTACACTTTTTCGGTTTTTCTTGCTCTAATCCTTTATTAGTGCGACGCCAATATAAACCTTCTCATTCTCCTTCTTTACCATGTTCGCCATCAAGTCGGTAATAATAATTGCTATCTCCCTCGGAATCAGTTTTGCTATAATCCAAATAATCATTAAGTGCAGGCGGAAAGTCAAATTTTTTTCGCAAAAAACTTTTTAAACGTGGTGAAAGGCGAATTATCGCCCCCGTTTTTTGTTTTTCTGAATAATAAGGAATTTTAAAATCAACTCCCTCCTGATAGTTAGTTTTTATATGGTGTATTAATTCTTGAATTTCTTCAAACACATTATTTTTTTTTGCCATGGCTTTTTTTTTGTCCTTATATTAATATAATTGTATAATTTTTACTAATTTCAGTTTATTAACTATTTGCTTCTTTCTTATCCAAACCGTGTTTTTTCAAAAATTCATTGACAGTTTTTCTCTCCGCGGGGGTCATTCCGTCTTTTTCTTCGCGTTGTCGATAATCTGGGTCCCCTTCATCCTTCACGGGCATGAGGAAGAACTTGGAGAGCATATACTTAATAGCATAAG